GGTGCAGTTCTGTGTGGTAGATATGGGGATGTGTTTGTGGTGGGAATTGTGATTGATATAGGTTCATCTACAGGTGTGTTTTGGGAAGATGGTTGAACTGGCATCGGACTGTCTAACATGTCAACACCACCACCATATAAAAATCTATCGCTCTCCGCTGTGAGAATCCTCAAGCAACGTTCTGTATTTCCATGCTGAAAAAATATGAAGAGTCAAAATTATTTATAAGGAACTGTTAACACTGTTTAAAGGCTGATGCTGGTGGTTGTTACAATTATTATTATCACTAGGATCGTTAAAGCAAAAGTTCATATAATATTATTTTTGCTTTGGGAAGAATTTTCACCTGGCTACAGCCCTGCTTCAGCGATTGTACATGTAATAATCCTAATTGATTGTCATACAAGTCTTGATGATCATACTACGCAATCATCGTTAATTCATACAGAAACCCCTCTCCAAAGACTGCTGACTTGCTGACACCAGAAATGCACTGAGTGTTTGCTAATGATCCAGGTTCTCTCCGGCATTTTTAGTGTTGTAAATGCACCAATTACAATAACTGAATGGAAAGTTGGTAAGGGTCAATCAAATGTTTCTGAAGCGATCGAAACAATAGCACTGATAATAGTGATCACAGGTAAACCAGTCTGACTAGACTTGATCAAAGAAGGCAAAATTGATAATAATTCAGTAATGGACCTTTTCTAATTAACATCTCCATTTTTCTTTTCTTTTCTCTTACAGTGACTGCAACTACATTTCAAGCGTGGCTCCTTCAGAGTCACTTTCTTCAAAGGCATCCACATTTTTTTGTTTCACACACCTCTCTCCTTTTCAGTATCAACGAAAACTTAGTGTAAATAAAAAGCACACGCCGTAATCAATTTACTTGTGCCATGAATTTTAAGTACTTTTTAGTCCCTTTGTAAAACAAAAAGTCCATTATCTTACATTGTATAAAGCACATGAAACTTGAGCAGTAGGGGCTTATTAAGTTTCTAAACTATCAACTCTATATTTAGCCATACAACCATAAATTAGCCAACTGTTCAATGAAAAAAAAAGGGAAGGTTAATGGACAGCAGAAATGCACCATTTGTGGTACCTAATCAAAATAATGATAAAATGCTAATGGTTTACATTTAAAACTGCCATTACAGTTAGAAAACTTTGCAATGTAGGAAGTTCCTGGCACAGTGACAGTACTATCACTTGCTTGAATAACATTAGTACCTTTTCAATCAACCTTAATATTATAAATTTGCAATAGCCCAAGATTACATGATTTGTCACAGGGTTTCAAAAAGACAAGAAATATATTATAAAAAGTCTTCGATGTATGTAGAAACATCTTCATTAAGAATGAAGTCCCAAAAAATGCCATCTAACCTTCCGTTTTTAAAAAAAAGACTTGTTTAATAACTACAAATTATCACGCCATACACTAGGTCAGCTAATATCAACGTGCACATGATCCAAGTGTTCAGTCATCCGGTCTATACGCAAGCGATGATTCACTGAGAAATTTATAGTCGTGACTGATCATAATAATTAACGTTCTAAAATTAAAATATTTCCCCTGATCTCTTTTATTCATCTGTGAGCCAACTGCAGCGAAGGGGCAGATTTCAACTGAGCAAAGCTGTCGTTATCTTCTATCAAAGTCTTAAATTTTACTTTCGATTTTGTCCTCAAAATATGAAGAACTTAATCTGCAAGCTGGCTATATATACATCATGTGTCGTGGAGTTAATGCAGAGATCGTTGATTTTAGCGTATCGTCTTCATCTATAACGCTAATATTTTCCGACTTGTAAAAGTTATGAACAGAAATACAGCTTGGATTATCGCTCCGCAAAAATATTCCCTTAAGGGCTATTGAAATCCTTGCCATCGATCGAACCGACGAAGTTCTTTGATGCAAACAATCGTGGCGATTTCACATTTGTTTACAGCCACGATTCAGTTCAATCAGTATCGTCTCCATGGAAAATATGGAGTTAAAAAGAGTACAATCGAGTTGAAAGAAGCCTTGATCGCGACGAAGCAGAATTCAACACACGCCAGAGAATCATAGTGATGGCTTACTCGAGAACACGCTATGTTTACAGGACAACACCTCCAGTGCACTACCCACGGAAATTACCAAAAGAATCAAAACATGTTGATGCAAAACAACAGTCCCTGAACGGAAAACTGAACTTGCTCAATCCGTAATATAAATAACCAACAAATTCTTGAGACAGGCTACCAATGTGAGATTAGAAATCGACTTACCTCAGCCTGCAGGGTTTGAGAAATGACTTGCTCCGGAATTTCGGGAAACCTATTCTTCAGGGCCTCGAATATCTGCCCGTTGTAACCGTTTCTCTCCGCTGCCATAAAATATTTCGCGTCCACCATGTACAAGGCCTTTTGTGTTCCCTTCTCTAACGTCTCTTTTGTATTGTATAAGGTAATGAAACGGGTTAAGCTTACGAAGGAAGTTTATCTCCAGACCAACTTCCACACAGCTTCGGTCAACGTCAGATTCAACACGTACTGCGCATAACATTGTGGCACGTGACTTACCTTCCGATCCAATTCAGATGCCGATCGATAATAAATCGATATTCAAATTATCTGCAAAACTCTCTGAAAGGGAAAAAAATTCGAAAACAAAACAAAGCAAAAATAAATCAATAGCAAAAAACGAATAAACAGAAAAAAAATGATTTTTTTCGTAACCATTTGCATTTCTCTGTACAAAGCACAAAGAAGCCGAACAAAATGAAAAAACAACTGCAGTTTCGCAACTATTGCCCAAATTCGGCGACTCCACCTACGATCACGAGAGAGTGCGCGACTCGGGGAGTGGCTAAAGTGAAATAATAACAGTATTTTACTGAATTTTTTTTCGTGCGTCAATAAACGTAATACTTCAGGAGCGTAATGTTTAAAGAGCTGAAAACGTCATCATTTGCGTCACGACTTGTGTTCAAAACTGAAAAATGAAACCATAGTTTGTCGGCCTTTTGGATTAGCACAGTACACCGAGAAGCAAACTGAATCTGTTCTGAGTGGCGAGTTTTGCATGGATATTTGATTGCATTCGTACCTATCAATATAATTCGGGCATCGAAGGCCAAAACCGAGCATCTTTATTAGAGATATGGCCCCTTTGGACTTTTGAAGAGGTCACACAGGTTTGAGGTCATTCGAAAAGATTTTTTACAATAACTGTCTAATTTCTCGCGCGCTGACTGGTTCATTTTTATCATCGATAAGAGTACAAACGGATAAAATTTTAATTTATGCAAGCTTTCAAGTTCAACTTTCAGCTGTCAAACTGTCAACTTTTTAACCAATGAGACTTTGTGGACTTTTTTAAGTAGCCAATCAAAAAGAGAGAAAAGCTATCATTTTGAATAAAATTCACTTGTCTTTGTTTACGGCAAGTTTACGTCGTCTTTTCCCCTCATTTATTCCTGGCATTTGACCGTTTTGGGGTCGTTATTGTAAAAAACAAATTGACGTCAGTTTTTTATGCGACTGTCCTCTTATTGATGATAAATTGCGTCATAACATTGTCAAAGTGGCTGTGGAACCACGAGCCGCAGGCAATTTGTTAAATAGCTTCCCGTTCAGCCAAGGTGAGGTGGTCTCGTGAACCAAGTGACGTCACCGGGTGAAGTTCGCGGTCAAGTCCAGGGAGACTGGATTTGAAAGCAGTAAAGAACAAATTTCACTCCAAATTATGTTCACTATGCCCTTACTTAACTGCTGCCAGTGAGTCACTTGACTTAAGAGACTCGGCAACAATCTCGTTCCTTTGCCAGTAGCGCGCTTGTTGACGCCACTGATGGAGACCTCTTAGCGTAAATGAAAATGAGCCAGCATTAAAATAGCAGTTTATACTAGTCTTCGCATGTTCAGAAACCATTACAATCTCGTACGCACAGCCTTCGTGCCCCTTAAACAAATGGGGAGCTTTTTTTATGAGTAGGACAATGGTTGTACAAGTGCGATATAGTACTTCATTTCTTTGCCGTCCTCTGCAAAAATGGAGTGTGAAATGACCAAATTCTGCGTACTCTATAAAGAACGTAAACCACGCAGGCTAATTTTTAAAATCAGTTTTCAGAATTTTGACGGCCCCTTATATATCAGTTTGGGAAAGCTCTGACGGTGACGGACAAATTACACGGCCGTCGTCGTTGCTTTTAGGCCCCGTTGTTCACACTACGCCGGAGAAATGTTTTCCGCCCCCACGAAAACGAAAAGCCGTCGTTTTCAAATTCCTCCGGTTTGAAGAGAGTTTTCGAAAAGTTCCGTTTTCGTAATGGATTAGTTTGGATACTAGGCCAAACCATAAAAATAAAGCTACGTTTACAAATTTCTTCGGCGTAGTGTCGACGGTGCCAAACTCCCTATTACTGCTGTTAAGCGCAAGCGCTGACCGATAACGCGCGGGCTCTTGAGTTAATAACACCCAGCATTTATTCGATTAGCGTTTTGAGTCCACAATATCAATTGTTTCTAAATTTATATCTCATAATGTTAGCTCTGGTTACAAACGTCACGCAACGCTGAATTGGTCATGCAAGTCTCAAAATGATAATGACGACGGCGACGACGACGACGACGACGACGACGATGATGACGATGACGATGAACGCTTCTGGGCACGTAAGCGATGCGTGACGATTGTGAGACGACCAAATAAAACTGTGCACATGCACAAAAACTTTTCACTTTACTATGTAGAGAGAAAATAGATCTAGATAATTCTGGAAATCAAGATTGTCTCGTCGATTGTCATTTTCACTAATACATAGATTCTATAGTCATTGTTCCCTCTCATCTAACGCATCGCAACCTCTAATGATTATGTAAGAAAGAGCAGCTCGAAATGTTGGTTCAGGGGGACTGTAATGTCGGCGAATATTTTCCTCCTTCAGCTAGCTTTCTGCTCATCAGCCGGTTTCCAGTTGGGATTAAAGTGTTTCTTTATTGGCTCCCACACCTTGTAATAATCATGATCCACTTTTTGACAGGTTTCGTTGCCCCATTTGGTGACAGCCATGCTCAGACTGCTTTCAAACATGAACGCCTGACAAGAGATAGAAACATACTGATGATATGGAGAGTTGAGGGATTCTTGAGTCGATATACTTGTAGCCCTACACAGCGAAGACAAGTGGCTGTATTTGTAAGAAAACAAATTTACACTGCGACTTCTGCAACCCCCAGGTCGACTAAGTGAAGTAGAATAGCAAAGTAGAATAGAGAACTTCACTTGGACGTAACTGTAATACGATAGGAAATCGAGTTATTTCAGTTTTTAGTGGACAAAAACCTTGTTCCAGAATAATTTTAGGTATTTCACAGTCTTTTTGTTACATTTTCTTGTAGCTATAGATGTAAATAGTAACCTGAAAAAGCACCGGAAACAATTTCCCATAGGAACTCGAGGAGATATATTTCAAAGTTCAGAGAAATTGTGCCAACACAGGTAAAATTTCATCATCAGTTTCATTCCACCAGTACTTTCACGTGTTTCACGTGAAGTTCAAAATTTGTTTTCGACATTTGGTCTTGTTAGAAACGATCTTTGTTTTGACATATTTGAAACGGTCGTACAGAAGTTTGCGAAACGATGTAAATAATCAAAGTTTTCGTCCGCTAATGTTACTTGAACTTCTGGTGGATTCCTTCTTAACATTCTTTAAATCAGTTCCATTCTGAAAGGCTGTTTAGTTTTTATTGTCTGGGTGACAATGGTCATTGCAGTGGTACGAAGAAGCCTTCCATATCAGAGCGTTCACTATATCGGTTGGCTATGGAAGCAGTTAAACAGTGCTGTTGTTTTATCGTACGTACCATAGTACCATCTGCTACTCGCTGAGGTTTCAACTCTCCTTCAGACGCCTTCTCAAAGCAATCCTTATCAGGCCCGTGGGGGGTCATCATACTGTGCAGACTACCACCCCCTGGAGAAAATCCTTCTTCCTGTAAGTAAGATCACGTTGAGGTAGGGATTAGTATCGTATAAACACGCTTTTCACTTTCACGATCAAATCACGAATTACTCCCCGTTACATCTAGCGTCTTAAAGATGGTTTCACGGTTAGGCGCATGTGCAAGCTATGACGCAAGGCAAATCAGTTCTATTGTTTATGCACCAATCGGAAGCGAGTATGTACACTGCGTGCGTAGTTTAGCTGTGAAAGTTTGCCGGTGAAATTTTTGCGTCAGCTGGTTGAGGCAATCGAGCGATTCTCTTCGCGTTTTGTAAGTTTTGTGAAGCTTATGCACTTTATGCTCTTTATACGTTATAGATTTTCCCCGTACTTGTCGAAATCGCAGTACGGATGATCGACAGAAACATATATACTTTTTAGCCCGATTCCAAACGTCGTGCCACTGCCGTGCCGAACTATATTCAAGAATTAAATTAAGCACTTAAGCACGGCACTAACACGACGTTTGAAACCACCCAATTGGACAGGCTGAATTATGTTCGGCAAGACTACTTAGCACGGCGGTAGCGCGACTTGGCTTCAAACGGCGCGCTCTTGCCGTGCCGAACTAAATTCATAGCCTGCTGCATCAGCTGCCGTTACTTTTAAGCATCTGAAATGGTCTTCAGCAAAGCAAACTTCTTCCGATCTTCGTCACGACTGAATTAAATTGGACGTTTGAAACTACTGCCGTTCATTTGCCATGCCACTGTCGGGCCAAACTAATTTGAGTTCAGCATGGCACGACAGTAGCACGACGTTTGGACGAAGCCTTACTCGACCTTAATTGTTTCCATTTTCACAATATAATGTTCGGTGGCATAAACAATGAAAGCAGTCGACTAGACGGGGCTAAAACCACGAGTTGCACTTCGACAAACATTCATTTTCGGTTGAAACCGTAGTTGTTCTTATCTAGCCTTGCTCACGTACACCAGCAAGCTGTTATTGTTAAGTTGCCAAAACAACGGGCTCGTTACTTCCGGGTTGAAGCCTCCTGCTGAGAGTCGAAACTAGCAGGTGTGTCTACAAGTTTTCATAAGACAATCGATATTTTCAGTAGGTCAAATCCTGTGTACACACCACCAGGTAAATTTTGTCGAAATTCTAAAATACTCATGGAGGAGAAAACATGGCGATCAGTAACTTAGTACCGGGTCAACTGGCATTGCACAATGCTGGTGTATTTTGCGACTCCAAATACAAGGTATGTTACGAACTGCCTCGGTGACCAGCTCCCAGTTGGCTTGATAGCTCAGTTAGTATAGCACTGCACAGGTATTGCAGAGGATCCCGATCAAGCCTGAATTTTTTTATGGCTTGAGTTTCGCAACTGCCACAGTTGCGTGTATAACTACGATGATTTCTTACATCTTAAGAATCCGATAAACGTCCAAACAGACCCTCGTTACTTACGGATTTAGTTTAATAGAAGCCTACTCCCAGTGACCTCATGGTTAGTGCGCTCGTTTCAGTTCCGTAACGAGCGGTCCAGGTTCGAGCCCTAAACCAGGGACATTGTGTTGTATTACTAGGCATGACACTTTACTCTCACAGTGCCTCTCTCCACCCAGGTGTGTAAATGGGTACCGGCGAACTTAATGCTGGGGGTAACCCTGCGATGTGCTAGGATCCCATTCAGGGGAGAGTAGAATACTCCTAGTCGCTTCATGCTACTGAAACCGGGATAAGCTCCAGCCTGATGGGCCACTTGGCTCGTATACAGACTTGACCTTTTTTTATTCCTATCACAATTTTCAGAGGGTAGTAACTTTCGAATACTTTCTATACTTTTGGAAGTATACCATATTCAGGCCTAATCGCTCACGAACTCAAAAGAAAAGATAAAACTTGTGGAAAAGAATGTCTATTACACCAGAAAAAGGGAATATCATGTCTAATTTTGGGTCACCTAAAACAAACTTCAAGCCAGTTTGGTACACCTCGCTCCATCTGTTATTTCCGTGGTTTCATAATAACCAGCCAAGTTAGTTAGCCAATGGTCAGAGAGAATTATTCCAGTGTTTGAGGGATTTCTTCTTGTAAAGTAGCTCAGTCATGGTATTTTACGGTATTTAGTAATTTTGGCAAAATACAAAATTATCTCTAAATTAAAGGAAACCTGAAAATAGTAGTTAACTCAGATAGAAAACAGCAAAGGGATAATAATAACCCATAAAGGAACAAGGATGGTTAAGGATGGAGAAGATTGACACGGATTACAAACGACAAACTTGAAAAATTTAGCCTAAACTTTTCGAGATGCGCAAACCGTGACGTAACTCCTTTAAGTGGTCGCAGTATTATAACTTTCGAGAAGTGCTTTCGGGTAGTCGCTTCTTTCGTAATACAGAATTTACAAGCGTTAAAACAATGGAAACATTTGCTTAGTAAAATCTGTGTCGTCTTTATCTGATCAAACTCGCGACTCATTCACTCGGAAGCGCTAAACTTTTTTTTCCTAAATTTCTCAGATCAGCTATTTCTTCTTTGCAGCTTGAAGCAAGTTAAATCCCTTATTAAGCCATTGCTGCAGCAAAACGGCCACTTGTTATAGCTGTATGAAAAATTTGCTTTCGCAGCCACATGATTTAGGACCATTTAGAGTTTTCTGTGCATAGACAAATTTACACTGAAATGTTCACCCTACCTTCGCTTCGTATTTTCCATAAATCAAGCCCATGAATTCACTCATACAGTTTCCTGTTTAGGACAGTGGAGAGAAATAGCAGTACATTATAAGTATAACTGGATGATTTCCTTCTATTCAGTCTGTAAGTACATTACATTATTCTATTCATTCAACCTTAACGAGCCTTGTCCTGGGAAATTGCGGAACAGTCGAAATCACTTACAGTTATACTAGCATTACATCTGACTATTTCGCCTAAGGTTTATCGGGTCTTTATTTATACTTTGTCGCCAACTGCTACAAAACAACTCGTTATTCTGTTACTGTGGGAGCAAGTCATTTACAGCAGTTTATTATATAGACACGAATGTTTTACTTGAAAATACACCATTGGTAAAATTCATACGAATCTACATCTGCGACCGGAGTGATGTATTTTCCATATCCTGACTAGCGTAGCGTACGAACGCAGACGTATTTCCTGCTGTAGCTTGTCTAGTCTCTCTGCCGGAAATGCGTCTGGCTTCGCAGGCTACGCTTGTGAGGATATTGATGACGTGGTTTCCCGCTTTTTCAGGGTTGTTTGCACAAAGTTAGTTTGTCTATGTAATAAAAAGAAAATTACACGGTGGCTTCAAGATATTGAGCTCGTTCGTAAAATAAAGTTTCGTAAAAAAAATTCAGGTGTAATAAGTCAAATTGTTGTTCTTGTGTATTGATTGGTTCGTGCTTACGATCAATTAGTGGACAGACGTATAAATGATGTCATAAACATTTTTTGTTTCTTCATTCATGTAAAACAGATAGATTCCATGTTGCCATGCGTCTGTTCAGTAATAATTGATCACAGAAGTCATCAACATGTGGTAAGAACATCAGTGACACGCTCGGCTATCGCCTCGTCTGCCACTTTTTTTGTTCTCGCCTGATTTTGACACCATCTGTGATCAAATACTGAACAGACGCACCACAACATGGAATCTACTTCTTAAATAATACACGCCCAGTACAATAGCGAGAATACAGATGCTATAGTCTTAAAAGATATAATCTGTTACTTTTCCTGACAAACCAGCATTGTGCACACACTTACGGTGGTAATAAGGTGGTCTGAAGGTGTTCTCAGCAACACTCCATCTTGGTGGAAATATAACAAAGTCTGCTATAGCAGTTCCTGATCTTAAACTGGGACAAGTAAGAACAGTGAAAACTGAAGGGTCCTAGGAAACAAAAATCTTTATGTGAGTTCCGCTGTCAAGAATTGCAGAACCACTGGCTGTGAAAAAAAAATGGTTTATAATTATTTGTAAACAGGAGAGAGCTGGCGTACTCACAACGTGGTCAAAGGAAACTGTGTTGATGACATTATAACAACTTAGATCATACTTGTATGGAGCGTAGTTACCATGCCATGCCACAACATCAAATGCAGAGTGACCCTAAAAGAGAACAAAAGTGTTCAAAAGGTAACATTCTAAATAATTTTACTACATGTAAGTTCACTTTGATAAGCTGTAAAGGTAAGGAATTTCCACCAAGGCAAATTAACTCAACTAGCCAGCTGTCCTGAATGAACAATGGATTTTCTAGACTTCATTAAGTATCTTTCTTTTCCCTGTGGCTGGGGTCCAATTTTTCTTTACTAATGTACACTTCATAACAATACCTTTGGGAGATTAGTAATCAAGTACCTGAAGAGCTTTGAATAGTTTTCCTTGGTATTTGCTGATTACAGTGAAGCCAGATGACACATCTCTGTCTTCAAACCACGCCACAGGTGTCAGGAAGTCACGTGGGTTTGCCAGTCCATTAGCACCTGACAATCACATACTTAATATATTAAAATGCCTTTAATCTTATTCACATCAACTTTGCACAATGTCGTTTTTTTTTTTCAAAAAAAAAAAACATCATTGGCACTGAATTGCTTTAGGAACAAATCCTCAAATAGCTGGGATATCTTACTATCAGTTTCTCAGTGTCTACAATTGCTTCTATCCCCTACACTACTAAACCTGCCCCACCCTCCCTCCTTCTCTTCATCCCTCTCGCTCTCTCTTCCACCCCCAGAAGACCTTCCTGTCCTGCATCTAATTTTTTTTGCCAAAGTCTCAAGAAGACTCTTGGTGAGTTTTAAGTGAGATAGATCTCAACATTTTCAGCTACAGGTACCATAGGCAATCTCACCAAGATTTCAAAAGACACATCAAACATCTCCACAATCTTGGCAAAAGTATCGCACAGGAGTCATTTGGGCTAATAGCTAGTAACATAACAAATTAAACAACCTCTAAAAATAAGCCATGCAATGAAGCATAACAACATGTACATTTGGTTGTGTTGTTCCATAAAATATTCATTCCCCTCCCACCAAGGGTTTCTCAAGAGCCTGACCCCGCTCGTCACCCACCCATTTTTTTGATCGTCCCTCCTAACCAAGAATTTCCAATATCTCTCCTCCGGGTGGGTATAGAAAGTTTCTGGAACCACATGAACAGAAGAAAGAAAAACAATCCAAAGCATTTACACTGTCAGTACCTATTGGTCCCAGATTGGGCAGAACAAAATGAGCATCAAACACTTCCAGAATGTACCCTCTTGATGGTTCACTGATCTCCACTGAAAACCTTATCCCTTGCTACAAAATGATTTATAAAATAATAACAATAATAATAATAACAACAACAATAACAACAACTTTACATAAAATATTTCAGTGTCTATAGGATCTAGCACCTGTGGAGCACAGGTGCTAATTGGGGACAAGCTAAGACCTCTTTTGATTCCAAAACTAGCTGCTTATATTTCCAGACGGTCATCTGTACCTAGACATGCTTTAAATACTATGCAAGGGAAAATCAAGTTATTTGACTGTGAGTATGAGTACCAGGGGGGCTGAGAAGTAGTGAAATGGAAAGAGAGATTGTTGCCTACCTAATGTGCATTGGGTATGAAACTTAAACCCCAGGTAGCATCCTGCATGGGTTGAGTTTTATTTCTCCGACTGGTTTTCCTCCCCTCTCAAAAACTAAGTGAACATTCAAAAATTCCAACAAATTGTGTTCCTTATTGGTAAGCTTAACAGGGTAGCTAGAACCTTGACACATCTATTTACCAATCAAAAGTTATTTATTTAATAATATAATATATATTTACCTGGATAATACATATTTCATTTGGTTTCACTTCCATTTTACCAAACTCAGTTGTGACCATTAAAACACCCTTCTGAGGAACTGTAAATTTTAAAAATTTTGGGTGTTACATAATATATTGAACATTACCATTAGGGATAAATACTTAATTTTCAATTTTATGAGTTTTTTTACTGGGATTATTGTTTGGGTGGGTGAGGGTACTTCTTATTAAAAATTAAAATTATATGCTGATTATTTTGTCTACAATTTGTACTGTTCAGTAATTATACTCACCTATAAGGAAATCTCCATCAGAATTGTAGAAACACCTGAAAAGAAAGCCAAAGGAGACTTTTGAATACAATCAGACCCTGTATCCAAGATTCAAGATGTCCAAGATTCCTGTACCAAAAAAGTGATGACTGAACGGTTTTGCTTAAGATGGCTCCCTGTAGTTTTACGATCGCACGCGCGCTGAGGATGAAAGCTCAAGTAATCTAAGCATGCCCAAAGGAAAACGTCAGTGTTTTTCGATATTTTATGACATCAATGTGTGTACAAAAAGCAAAACTGACAGTGAATTTTCTCACGTTTCCTTCGGTGAAATTCTGTAACATTTGACAGACTAGTAGTAAACGTTTTACTTTAGTCAGAGCTTGTTTTTCAGGGAAATCTTGAAGACCAGTTTTTTTGCAGCAATACATAAATTTGCAAAAATCGAAAAAACTGTCTTTACAAACCTACTTTTTTGTACTTAAAATTCATATCCCACAGGATGCAATATCTGTGAAAATTTTGGAAGATTTCACCGAAAGAAATTCAACAAATTGCAAATTTCATAATCCCATTTATAATTCAAGACTAAAACCCATACTTTTAACAGAGATGATAGTAATCATTGCTTATTACATGTAATAAGTTTGAGAGGACTGGGTGTAAAAACAGATGAAAAAACGGCATTCAAAAACATAACACTTCTACGTGCACCACCATAAATGATTACCCTCTGGAGCCACCTTAATACAAGTAATCACAAACTAAACAAGCATTAACACCTACAAGTAAGTGAAAAACCAAAATTATCAGTTTCTTACTTGTCTTTCATTGAAACATCACAACAATAGACATGGACTGCAACCCCATGCCGCGAGCGAGAATCCCCAACACCACATAATGTGTGCAAACCCTGAAAATAACATTATAAAGAAATAAATTCTGAGATCATTTAACTAGCTCATTAGGAAATTATTTATTGACTGATTTTTTTAAAGCTTAATGTTGCAAAAAAAGATATTTATTTAATAGTAACTTACTTGTACTTCTTGTAGGAACATGAAAGTTTTCAGTGAACAACTTAGTCAGTCCGCACATGCAGCAGCCTGTTTATTAAGTAAAAATTAACTATGTCACATCCCTCAACATACTTGTGTGAAGTCAATGTTGCTGCCATCAGCAGGGATGTCAAATGGTTTCCATCGCAGCTGAGGTAAAAAGAAAAGACATTACTTTATCACTGGTCTTATTTATTAGTTCATAATATCTGCTGATCTTGCTATAGTAAGATCAATCAATTAATGACCACAATATGATCAGTAGTTTCCAAAAAGTTTACTTTACAATGAATAAATAAGTCAATCAGTAGACATTACAATATTTATTTGCAAGCACTAGTCTGTTCATAGAAGTTCCAAGTACTGTAAAAGCATAAAGAAACTCCTAACATCCTTCTTAATTTTCTATCTAGTTCTTTAAGAAAAGTTGTAACAGAGAGGGGGCTAACATTACAGAGAAAAGGATTGTGTTGACTCTATGATTAGATGGTAAAAATAAAAAAATATAGACTGCAAAAGACTGTTAAAAAGTAACTTATGTATATGGTAAAGATATAAAGACATGTAACTTGGACAGGGGCATGTAGATTTCATAATTCATCATTTTGAAAATTGTTCATACCTTTTTGATTTGTCTCTGTCAGCTAACTTTCTTGGAAAGCAAAGGGATTTAATTAACAAAAGGGGAGGGGGAGAGGGTGGCTTATTAGATGGGAGAACTTACTAGACCTGTAACTTACAGTAAAAGAAGAGTGTTGTGTATTCTCTTGGTTTAGTCTCACCTGATTAGGATTAGGGTCACATTCATCCCAGGAATGAGTTAGATCTCCCTGATCTGTCTTCACATAAGGCTTGTGAACAGCTGCTGGTCTGATACGGTATAGCCAGCTACAGTGTAAAAAACATATATATATCAGGTACATAAATGTCTTATTAGGTCTGCATGTAACATGTCATATCATTGAAACCTGAGCACCCAGCAGACCCTTTCAGGGGTCAGATATTTTTTTCCCATACTATAAGCGCTTTGAAAACTGACCGATCTAAGCCTGGACCAAACATACCTCCTGCAGTTGTAGTCCCTTGTGGCAGTGAAAGCTGTACCTGATAGCTGCTCAGCATACAAGCCATAAGGGCATTTCTGAGGACTATTCTGTGAATGAAGAGAACATTGCTTTTATAAGAAACTTACCATGTAAGCCCTTAATAACTTATTTGACACTTTGGAAAAGATAGAAGTATTTTACCTTCAGGTACTATTCCATTTTATATCTCTGACTGCTCCCTCCCTCCCCCTCTCCAACACCATATTGAATACGTAAGCCAAAATATGTGTGCCCCCCTAAAAAGTATCAATAAAGATACTGATAATGGTGAATGCCGCCCCCCCCCCACCCCCTGAGAAATAACAACATTTTCTGACCCTTACAGGAAAAAGCTATTTTCCTTCAATTCCAACACCGCCCAGAAAAAAATATCCAAAAGATCGGACGATGCCGACGGGGGAAGGAGGGGAATGTAAGCCCGGGGAGGTGAGTTCTTGCACCTCTCGATAACTCAACCTCAACATCGTTTCCCTTTGATCTATGTCACCGCAATTTTACCCTCGATATCTCTAACTCCTGATTTTCCATTTGACGTGATCATGGGAAGTTTTCAAACAAGAACTGAAAAGTCGTACCTGTACTCGACCTCGTACTCGAACACAAATCTTAAGTCCCCTAGCAGAAACGAACCGAACGTCAATCCACAACATTCAATCGACTTACTCGTCCTTTTGGAAGCGCATCCGGTAAGGCTTCGGAGGAAAACTCATTTCCAAAACCTGACAAGTACTTTAAAGAATTTAAGAAACATTAGTATTAATTTTATCCTCTGCCTCAAGGTAAGCCATAAAGATATACTTACTTTTAGTTCCGCCATTTTGAATTTCTTTGTTCTTCAGACGAACACTAAAGAATTGTGGGTAATAGCCACGTTTAGTGATTTCTGATTGGCCTGTTAAACCACACCTTCGGGCACTCCTCCGTTACATGTCATGTTCACTATCACGCAATCTTTCTTGAGAAGCGGTTTTCGTGCTTTACAGAAAACAAATGCTTTAGAAATTAAAATTTTTATTTAGTTGCACTGTTTATTAGCACAGCGCTGGATAACTAGAAACAAGCAATGCTTTATTCCATAGAACCCTTACTCAGGCATCTGAAGTCCATACCTACAATACAAGATTTGCTGCGAATTTGAATTTTCATAGGCCATAAGTAAATAATAACTATGGGTCCTCTACTTTCTCTTNCCCCCCCCCCCATACACACACATACACCCAGATCTCGATATTGATGTTTGTCTACCTGCTGGGGAATTTTACAAGTATTCACATCCTACGAGCTTACAGACCTTTTTCATTGCATTTCACTCAAGGCTATAGGTAAGGTTTTTTATGAGACAGCACTTCTTTTCCAATGTAGAACTGCTTGTCTCTCTATATATATTGCATGTAAAGTACACCAAAATAAGTAGCCTCATTTGCAAGCATTTTCAGTGTTGATCCAAAAAATCTGTCCACCCATAAATATGTCCTCCTATGAGCTCAGAGGGGTTTCTTTCCCTTTGTTATCTTTTCAATCAGGAAGCAAAAGTGTAAACAGAGGACAAGGTAAAAATCATTTAAACTTATCAAAATCAAGTATTTGAGAATTTTTTCCCAAGTTTATGTGCATTTCACATCCCACTCAGAGTTCAGATCAATATACTATAAAAATAAAGAACACAAGTATAGAGAACACAACTTTAATCTAAACTTAACTCGATGTCGGTTGAACGTGGACTACCCAATTGATTGAACATTGGATCTCACAGGAGATCTAATCAGCCAAACGTGAAAAGTAAAACAATAATAAGTCAAAGACTACTGCAAGGCTGACAAAAGGTATATTCAAAACAACATTTCAGCTGGCCTCGGGTTTAGATGTTAGTAATTATAAAAAATGAAATTACAATATTATATAATGGTGTGGATGTTTGTCCTGGTTTCGTTCATTGAGAAATGTTTGTTCCGCTCATATAAGTTCATTAAGGTCCTCAAATAAGACACATTCTCATCAAAGCTTACCACATTAGTAGGTCACTTTCCAGCAAACAAATGCTCATCATCATTATTCCAACAGAATTTAAAAACTGCCTTACACTTCCTTTTATAAGCAATATAAACTATACCTTTTAAATACTCAATATTACTCTTCTGCATTATGATTTATTCATTTAACTTGTTTATTTCGAATACTTTTGTTATTCGCATTTTACTTCCTTTATTGCATTGTTTCTATTAATTGATGTGTCTTGTCTTTTATTTTTGAACGTGTCAGTGACCAACATGCTAGCATATGTTTCTTTGGTCACTGAGCACATTTTGTTTTGGTTTTATTATTATTAATTTATTTTAATTAATGAATTTTTTGTAATAGTGTGCATAGTGAAATATGTCTGTAAATAGTGTCAATTAATAAAATCTGAAATCTGAATCATCTCCTGGTCATTTTGAACACCTGGACGGGTCAAATGCTCATGAAATTCAGTGCTCAAGTTGGCCATAGTACTAATTCAAACATTCGAAGTCAACTCCACTTCAATTTAGCAAAACACCTAACATCAACGGTCATGTAAAAGCATAGTTAATTGAGGGGACTGGTTATGAAGCCCCGCAAACATCAAAGGAACAAACAAAGATGCCAAGATTTATGTTGGAAGGTCCACGACAGTGCACAAACTTTTGTTTCATGCTCATACACTATGCAGGAATTATGTAACCAACACATTTCTATTGATTGGTTCCTCAGGGCAGAGTAAACAACTATTGTGTTTTGTGCACCCTCAAGGCCAAAAAAGTGAACAAAAACATACAACAAAGAACTTTGTCGAGTTTCATAACCATTCCCCTCTATTCACTTTGGTAAAAGCTACAAAATCATCAATTTGGGCTGGCACGATGCATCCTTTGAGTAGTAACCACGCAAACACGATAGCGAGGCTCACGCTGACTGCACAGTTACTATTCCAATATGGCATCGGGCTCGGTTACTATTCCAACATGGCGTCAGCCTCAGGCGCTCTTCTTCAGGCTGACTAATTATGAACAGTGTACACCTGAGTGAGTGAGTGAGTGAGTGAGTGATACATTTGCGTATCGGAGTCCCCGCAAGAAACACATTTCTACGCTTTGCATATCCAGGAGTTTAAAAATGTATGTATATTGAACAGGGCTGTTTGCCAAAGTATTTGCCAGGACTTATGTTTAAAATGTGAACTGAGTTGTTGGTAACACTGAGGACTTAAAAGACATACATAATGAATAGTGAAACAACTTTGTGATCAATATTGTGCAGCCCTAAATATATAGTTTTCTCCCACATGAAGGTTGTTGTTTTCCACCCCTCCTCCCTCAGCAATTTTCAGTTAAATATGATATATATTGCCTCTGAAAATGGAGTTTCTAGACATGTTGTTTCATTTGGTGGGTTACCTTGGACCTTATTGTGTATTTTCCTAATACATATACATTGACTATATTTATAATTTTTTTCTTTTACATGCAGCATTCCTCTCTATAACCACCACAACCTAAGGACAGAGCCAAAACACATAGTGTTTTTATCAAAACTCCTGCTGTTGTTCCAGTTCTGCTACATTTGTCGGTCAGAGATTAAACCTACCGTGATGGCAACACAGAGTGAAACCGAGTTTGTTATAAAAACAGCTTGTAACAATCTTAGCTGTGGAAAAGATTACACCTGGAACAGCCTGCCTCTTTTGCCAGGGACCAGGACTGCTGCTGGCAACTTTCTTCTATGTATGGCCACTCTCTTTACTGGAGGTTCCAGCATATGGGCTTGTTGTGTGTATTGTTGAATACATTCTTCACCCACCAACGGGTGAGTTCATTTTAATGTTCTGGTATTCTTTTAAAATAAGCACCAAAAGTACTTAATCTGCGAGCTGTGTGTGTGATGTTGTTACATGTACACACGAGCTCCTTTCTGGGTGGTGTTGAACCGGAGAGGGTCAAGGGGGGGGCCACGGGATTTCAATATTGTAACCATGCTGAATCCTGTAAAACATTTTTCCTATCGTGTATCATTCTGCAGACATATCTATTTCAAAACAACTAATGAGTTGATCAATGATACATCATAATTACTTCTGTAAAGCTGTATTAAATTTCATAATGAAGACTAAAGAAATACAAATTTCCCATTTTCCTAAGATAATCTCTGTCTTGAGCTTTTTACAGCATTTAATTTATCACAAATCTATTAGTTTTTTTTAATTGAACCTATTTTTCATGAATCCATGTTACAGAATAAGCTGTTCCCCACCATCCACCTATTCTGGAAGTAATAACAGGCAAATTTGCTGCCACAGCTGAAGGATCTTGGCATGATAACCATAGCAGGTGATGGGTGCCATGACAGCATGGGACACTGTGCTAAATATTGTGCTTACTCTGTTTTCTGCTGCATGTTACCTTGCATCATCCATTTTGCACTTGTTCAGGTATATTCAACAATTTAATTTTAATTTTTCAGATGTTTTCCACATTCCAGTGAATGTATTTTTTGAAAGACATGAGTAAACCGATTTTGAAACAGAAAAATATGGTGCAAAAAGTCTTTTCTGCATGTATGTGATAGTATGTATGTCATAGTTAAGTGTATTTTGAAACATTTGTCATAAGTTAATAAACAAACAAATTTATTTAGACCTTTGCTTACATTAATTTGCAGAGGAATCAGGCAGTAAGCAGTCCTGCAATGGAATTTCTGGGGTTCCAGACATGCATGAATTTTCTCACTGGATGTGGTGTGGTCATCGGGACATTTATATCTGACAGATATATTCAAATAGCATGTCATATGAAGAATGGAAAAAAGTATGAAAACTTTTTGTGTAGTACTCCCTTTTTAGTGACTGGTTATGCACAGTATTGTCGCCCTTTGAGAAATAGTTCTCTTATTAATTTTCTTTTTAACTGAAATGCTTAGAATAGTCTGTATGGTGCATCATGGGTACATAATCTGCGAGAGTTTTAATAAATGGTTTTGCTTTTACTTACTTAAAAATCTTGGCCAGTTGTGCAGCCTGGGCCACTAAGATTTATGATTTAAGATTTAACTAAGATTTATGAAAACTGGTCACTAATTAATAACTACTATTAATAATGGCTGTTGCTATTCAAAGATCAGAAAAGTCCTGTCCAAGATTGCTAAAGAAAAGGGAAATGAAGATCTCCAGCAATGGGTGAAGCTGCGTGAAAAGCACCTCTACTGGAGTGCAACTACCACCTCTAATGGTGACGGAAAAGTCATCTGGGCAAAGTTCAAGTCTTTTTTAAGTCACATTGTGAACAAACACTCTGGCCTTGATGACCCAAAATTCAATAAATGTGCTCATGGAGTGATTCCTGGTAGGAAATGGCTGGATCCAGGTACAGTATTTTTTTGGTAATATAGCTTATGCTATGCATTACAAGCCTGGAGCACCACCCTAATTAAAATATAGTTACCTTTTTGGTGCTATCCTATTTAAATATAATTGCCATCAGGTGACCCAGGGTTGTAATGTGAGGGAAGTGCTGTCAGATTAAAGAATACTATAGTTTATTTCTTGCTAATTGAAGTTCTAATGTGTTTTTAATATAAACTGGGTTGAAAGTTTAACAACTGACAGGAATATCACTTGCAACTACACCTGTAAATTAATGAACACTTAAAATAACAAGACTGAAACACAACTTCTGAATTCATTTCTTATCCTTTTATAACCAGACCATGCTGGATATGAGATAATGAAGAAGGCTCTGACTGCAGAAAGTCTAAAAAAGGGTATAATGCAAGCTTCTCCATTGGTGCAGACAGACTGCCTTGAAGGTTTTCATTCAGTGTTTAACTTGTTTGCCCCAAAGCTGATTGCTTATTCCTACATTGGAATGTACTGTAGGTATTTCCATTTTACTATTTTCATTTTTTTCGTACATTCCTCTTTACTTCTTCCAATATGTACTAGTTATATGTTCAATAATTATGAAAAAAGTATGTTTTTTTTTGTTTTTTTTGTTTATTTCTTTGCAGGCATATTCTAGCAGCTCTGCACTTTAATTACAACCTGCACAGAGATGACAAAGTTAATGAAGATGACAGTGTCCCCTTAAAACTGAGCTACCCGAAGTTTAAAAACGGCAAAGCAACTGTTAGAAGTCAAAAAGTTGAACAAAACTTTGGTAAACAAATTACTTTTATTACACTATATTTTAATAAACCTACCCATATGGTTTTATGGCACTGAATGCATTCAGTTGCAAATTCTCTTGCTCTTTTTTTTTTAGTCAAAAAGTCAATTTTGACAACAAAATAATATTGATTGCAATAACACAAATTTCATCAAATTCATCCTACAGGTTTTGCATTTGAACACACTCCAACTGTGAGAATTGATTTTTGCAAGCATTTGACTTTTTTATATGCTCTTTCTTATAATTTCCAACTGTGGTAGATTGTAAACAGTTGACACAACCTTCAATAGAACAAACACTGGCAAAGACAAAGTGGGTAAGAATTCCATAGCAACCATTTTTTAGTAAGCTCTGCCCATTTACATATGGACTTTCTTGTAGACTAAGTTGAAGAACTTTTCCAGTTCTTTCTGGGACTCAGCAAAGAAC